AGGCCTTGCTCGGAGTCCCAGGAGATCCACAGGTCCAGCGTGAACAGTGAGAGGTCAGAGGTGGAAGGCTCAGCAGGAGAGGAGAGGAGGATCAGCAGAGGTCATGAGAAGGCCAGAATCCAGGGTCAGGCTGTCTGGAACAGGAAGTAAAATGGGCCGAGATGGAGCGAGCCCCCAGTGTGCTTCCGAGGCCACTCCCAACTCCCTGAAACACCCTGCTACGTACTGACCCAATGCCTTGTGCTGTGTATGAGAACACCTTCTCTTCCGAAACCCCTGTACGAGGGAGGGGCCCCTGCGGAGACCGTGCCCTGCCATCCAGGTGAGCCCTTTCTCCCCCACCCTGTCAGCTGTGTGGGAGGAGGAGGACTCCTACCCTGGTCGAAGTTGAGTTTCTTAGCTGGAGGAGTTTCTCCTAGCCCTTCAATATCCACCAGGTCACTGTTGGCGTCGGAGTCGTTCAGAGCACTGAGTGTCACATCTGGGAAGGGGGCATAAGCTAGGTTCTAGGTTCCCCTGATGGCCTCTCCCCCAGCCCCGAGCTTCCCAAAGCTTCGTGCCTCCCCTCCCCTCCCCTCTGCCCCTCTCTGGGAACCTCCACAGGGACAGGAAGAGAGATTGACCCTTCTTTGACCCAGGCCCAATTCTCTCACTGAACCTCAGATGGACTTTTAACCCCTAGGTAGCAAGTCCACAGCCCTCACCAGCCTTCTGTTTCTTTATGGGGGGACCCCCGGCCTCGGGGACACTGGAGCTGCTGGGAGGAGGGGCAGCTGGAGGAGGTGATAAGACACCAGATGCCACCTTCTTGGGCCCTTTCTTGGGTGACTCAGCTGGAAGGGGGATGCCGGAATCTTCATATACCTTGCGTTTCACAGTGGCCTTTATCTGAGCCCTGAAGAAAAGAGAGAAGAGGTTAGGAAAGGAGTCATCAGAGAGACTAACAGAAGAAGGGAGGGGAGATGAAGGGGTTCTGGGAGTCCCTTGAAAAGGATCCAGGTCGGGGCCCCAACCCATTGGGAGGGTTCTCACTTTCCCAAAGTTTTACACTCACTCAGGGTGGGTGGAACGTGGAGAGTGGAGTCCCTGAGCTGAGTAGTGGGAAAGGCCCATCTCCTCATTCTCTTCTGGGAGAGACATCGGGTAAGGCTTGGTGATTTACAAGTGGATTGGGATTTACTGATCAACTAGTTCAGGATCACCATATCCCTGGAAACACTGCAGTGGGGTCCCCCAAAATTTATATAAATAACCAGGGGACTTCCATCATCAAATACAATAACTGAGCATCTCAGGCAACCTAAATTCACATTCTTGGAAGGACTACCACAGCATTTTAGGAACTTCTGACCAACTGTGACAATTCTGTTCTTTCAGTTCTCAAGGGCATTCTAAAAAACTAGTGACAAACTAGGGAAGCAGCTGAGCTGGAAAGGAGTTCTGAGGACGATGGAACCTTGGGTAAGGAGGAAGAAGGCTGCCCACCCGCCCTTTTCTGGCAGCCACCCTCCCTCACACTGTCCGTTCCTTGATGACACAGCTGATGTGATTAAGATCGTCCCCAAATCGCTTCACAGCAGCCCTCAGCATCTCTATTTCCGTCTCCGTCCACTTCGCACTGTCAGAAGGGGAGAGGGGGGATAGCAAAAATGGGAGGGGGGGTGTGGAGCCAGCCCACAGGCTATGCATCCCACAGTCAACCAGCCGCCTCCTTCCGATTTCTGGGACCCCTTCCACGGATGCATAAAGAGGTCCTCCATAGGGGCGGGGGACGGGCGGGAACCTCTTGAGGGCCCTGCGGGAACCTGGAGGACCCCAATCACAAGAAATCACAACCACCTCCACCTTAGACACCCCTTTCCACCATGAACGTTAAACGGCTGCTGTACACAGCACACTGAAACCAACTCGCCAAGAAGGGCTTTTCAAACAGACCCACCAACAGCCTGCAGCCGTCTGGGGGAATTCCATGAACTGGGGTGGTTGGGAGTGGCGGTGGTTTGTGGTCGACCCGTTCGCAGCAGGGAGAACCGTGAAATAGGAGTCTGGGCTATAGGCCTGTCTGTATTTTTATCTGTCATTCATTCCCTCATCCAACGATCATTTATTAACACCTACTCTGTGCTGTGCCAGGCACAAAGGGAAACTAACGTCTGTCCCTGTGCTAGAGAGGGTCCGTGTCTGTGACCGAGTCCAAGCGCCCGCTCTCAGCGTCCACGTCCCAGTCCGGGCTCACGTACCCCGCAGGGGAAGAGTCGGCCACAGGATGCAGCTGCATCGTCAGCTCCCCGAGCTTCGTGAAGGCGGCGCCGGCCGCCGAGAAGATCTCTCCGACCTGGGGGCGGGGCAGCGTCACGGGGGGCCGGCGCCCGCCCTCCCCGTCCCGCCTGGAGCCCCTAGCCCCACCCCAGGCTCGGCTCCCGCCCGCCCCCCGCCCGGGGCGGAAGAGCCGCGAGCCAAGTGGGGGGCCCGCCCTCCCGTGGCCGCCAGGGAGCGCTGTCCGCGGGGGAGGTCGAACCTTTGTGGACGCTGACGTCATGGCCCCGCGCGCCTCCTCACGGAGACGCCGCCGCCGCCGCTACACGCGAGCCGGGACCACGGAGAGCAGGGAGACGGATCGGCTCAGGCCCCCGCGCAGGAAGTCCCGCCCTTCCCGCAGCGGATAGGCTCAACCCTGTGGCTCCCCGCCCCATCAGATGCAGTCGCTTCGACAGCTTGGCGCGCCCAGGCCAAGGGGGAAGCCTTCGCCTCACTTCCGCACCACTTCACTCCACTTCCGCTCAGGGGTCGGGACTCCCCGGGCAGAGGCCGACCTCCAGCCTCAGCCCCGTGCTCGCCCCCACTGAAGCACAGACACGGGGCATAAGAGAGCAGATTCTCTTTATTGAGATACGGGACACAGCGAAGGGTGGAGAGACGGAACAGCCCCCCAGCCTCAGCCCTCTCCACGGGGGCCGGATGCCAGACATGGGAGAAGAAGGGATTCAGTCTCTCGCCCGGGGAACCCAGTCCCGCACAGGGCGCCGGCAAGGGTGGGACGCGACCCGGGTGACGCGGTGCAGGGAGTCTTTAAATAGAGGAGGGGCTGGAGCGGGGAAGCGCGCCCGGGCCCTAGCGCACCATGTATTCCTTGCGCTTATTGAGCCGAACTTGGCAGAAAGAGAAGCCTCCGAGAAGGAGGTAAAGGCCTGCGGCGATGAAACAGTTGTAGCTGACTTGCTCGTAAAGGTTGTATATGTTCTGGGGGCCATTCCTGGGGGTGGGAATGAAGCAAAGGTGTCAAACATTAATAGCAGCCAACGTTTGCTGAGCAGTATGTGCCCAGCACCTGTCTAGGCGCTGTTACGTGTATTACTTTATTCAATCTTCTTGACCATCCTATGGGGTGAGATCTGTCGTAGCAGCCATTTTGCAGAGGTGGACTGAGAGGCCCAGAAAAGTAAAATACCTAAAGTGGTGGGTTTGGAATGGCCGCTGAGGTCTGACTCCCTAGCTCCTAACCACATTCTCAAGAAAGCAGCTCTCCTCTCCCTGTTCCCTAACCTAGGGGCCCCAAGCACCCGACCTCCCAGACGTAATCTGACCTCGCCACCTCCCACCTGATCCCAGCCCGCCTCCCCCACCCGAATACTTACTCAAAATCTTTCTCCGTGAAGGGAACGTCCTCAATCAACACAGCGGAATGGACATTGAAAAATATTCCGAGCATTATCTGGAAAAAGGGAATGGGTAGGTTGTTGAATTCAGGCACCTGACCTCCAGTTCACTTCGTAAACCCCTCCCATTTCTAATGTTGCTAGCACACCCGTGCCTAAGATGAACCAAAACGAGGTGGTGGTTACTGGATTCGGACTCAGCCACCTGGAACGGGGCGTGAGGTGGTGACATTGAGACAAGCGGCCGAGGCAAGGGTAGGAATAGTGACCAAGCCTTCTCTCCCAGGAACCCAGATTATCGTCTTCCCTGGAGGCGTCATCATCACGGGACAGTGCGCAAGAGGGGAGGGAGAATCGGCACTTCTTCATATCATTTCTTCTTGAAGTGGCGGTGGGTGGATTACTGGGAAAACAAGACCCAGCTACCCATTTCTGGAACAAGCACTCTTTCCTCCCATGTCCTCCATTCAACTCAAGCATCTCTCAGGAACCCCGCTCTTGTTTATCCTACCTTGAGGGGTCTCCACATTTACTAGCCCCAGCTCCTCCCACTCCAGGGCCCTTTGCTCCAGTTCCCTTTTTTCTTTTTCTTTTGGGACGGAGTCTCGCTCTGTCGCCCAGGCTGGAGTGCAGTGGCGCGATCTCGGCTCACTGCACCCTCCGCCTCCCGGGTTCAAGCGATTCTCCTGCCTCAACCTCCTTTAGTGGTGGGGATTACAGGCACGCGCCACCACGCCGGCTAATTTTTGTATTTTTAGTAGAGACGGGGTTTCACCATGTTGGTCAGGCTGGTCTCGAACAGTTCCCATTTTTCAATTCCAATCTGTCTCCTTCTTCGGGGCCTGTAGATCCCCGGCCCCTCCGGCCTGCCTGCGGCCCAGAGTTTCCTTGCCTCCCAACCCTCCCAGCCCGGAGCCCCTCAGGCCCTCTCCGATCCTTGCTGGGGAGTCCCCTCACCAACATGATCACTCCCCAGGCGCTGAGGACGATGCCGCAGGCGGCCAGCTTCGGCCCACAGCACAGGAGCGACGCCATGAAGAAGGGAGTCGGGGATCGCCGAGGTGCAAGCGGGCTAGGAAAGCGGTGGGAGAAAGCCCAGGATGCCCTCGGAGGGGTGCAGAGGGGGCGTGGCCCCGGCGTCAACCATCCCGCCCGGGGGCGGCAGGAGGACAAGGCTGGACTCTTCTCAGGACTTTCGCGGGAAACGGCGCCGTCCGAAACCGAAACAGCTCCTGGGGAAGCCCTTCTTGACCTCTGTAGCTAGGGCGTGAGTATTGGAAGAGCGAAGGTCTCCGGTTTCTTGGTCCCCCTCCCCCCGCAGACGGGAATGGAAGGAGCTGGCATGTCACGTGACCAAATCTGCGAAGTCACGTGACGAGGAACTAGCAGTAACCAGGCGTTGGGCAAAAAAGTCAAACTGGCGGAGCTCTTGGGAACTGGGGCGATGGGCTCTTAGGATCGGAGGATTGGAACCATCCAATTTCTACCTGAAATTCCTTAGTCTCTCCTGTGTTGGGGAAATGGTAAGACAGATTATCACCAACAGAGCGTTTCTATCTCACTCCTCCCTTTTAAAATTGACATTCTGACAGTATAAAGGAGTTAGGACCCCCTTTTGGGGGTCAGGCATGGTTTTGTGGCTAGAACGCTTTAAAATTGCTTAAGGTTCGTTCTTGGCATTGGAACTGTTTCTCCTAAGTAACATTTTATCATCACACTTGAAATACTGTAACTCTCGATGCCAAATTCAGGAAAGATGAGCAGTTAGGAGAAGTCCAGGGAAAGCCGACTGAGCAGGTTGTAAAGGTAAGTAGTCCTGTTAAATGTACATAAAAATGTCACTTTGCTTCTCTACTTTAAACTAGGAAAACTGATAGGTCTTTTGAATAAGGTAGGATATAAGATTTAAAAATATAAATAGGTCATCCTCTCCAAAAAAGCCGTTTGTATGCTTAACTGATGAGTGACAGATCTGTAATAATTATTTAGAAATATGAATGTCGGGGCAGGCGGATCACCTGAGGTCGGGAGTTCGAGACCAGCCTGGTCAACATGGCGAAACCCCGTCTCTACTAAAAATTACAAAAATTAGCCGGGCGTGGTGGCACGAGCTTGTTATCTCAGCTACTCAGGAGGCTGAGGCGGGATAATCGCTTGAACCTGGGAGGCAAAGGTTGCAGTGAGCCGAGATGGCGCCACTGCATTCCAGCCTGGGCGACAGAGGGAGACTACGTCTCAGGAAAAAAAAAAAAAAAAAAGAAATAGGAATATTTGAAGAGCACAGTTTTGCACTGAGCAAGTTGTACCCACTCTAGTGAGGACAATGACCTCAGAATAATTGAGAGGGATCATTTGACCTTGAGGCCCCAGGACCTAACAAATAAACACTATCATTGGCTAGAATAACTTTGTAGTTCTTGTCCATTTATTTTGTGCATATTGTTCTTAAAAGGCTTGTGAAAGATAACTTGGAATGTGACAAACATATAGATCCCAGAGTATTAAAGGGGTTGGGAAAGTAGCTTTGAGACATGAAGTATGTGCCTGTCATCTGGGACTGTTTGGAGAAAGAAGCTATTTTGGGGCAGTGGTTTTTATTCTGCCCCCAAAGCATCATTCTTATTCAGGGACTTTTGGGGTACATGGGTGAACAGGAGAAATATGGGTGAAAGGAAATTGCCAAAGAACCGAGTCAGGAATTTATACATCGGCCACCCGGCATGAAGGTTAGTTCCCGGGAATGGAGAGTTAGCTGGGGTAAGTTGATTTTTCTAAGAAATCCGCCTGCTCCATGATCTTGGATGTTTTGGAAGTAGGGTCAGGGCCTTAGGCTAGTGCAGAGTTTAAGGGCCAAATCCAGTCTGTAGCCTGGCTGTGTGTGTCTCAAACAAAGCACATTCGTTTGTGAATCTTTTTTGCATTTTACATAGTTGAATAAAAACCAAAATAGACTATTTTGTGATGTAACATTCATATCTGTGTCCATAAAGTTTTATTGGAACTTAGTCACACTCATTTCCATGTTGTCTGTGGCTGCCTTCATGCTGTAGCAGGAGAGCTGAGTAGTTCAGACAGTGACTATGGGGCCTGCAAAGCATATAAAAGGATCTAGTCTTTGCAGAGAAAGTTTACTGCTCCCCTGGGCTAGTGGGATGCTAATGTAGGGAGTTTCACTGGGGGAGGAAATAGAGCCTTAGCAGCAGAGACTAGTAAAGCATGAAATTCAAGATAGAAATGTCAGTCCTAAAGCAGATGTGAAATCTTGCAGGTGGAGTCACTCTAGGGCTCAGATGGTGACACTGTTCTCTATGCAGCTGGGCTTCAGATATTCATAGGGCCAGTCAAGTTGCTCATTCCGGGCTGTAATCTCCTTTTCTAGGTTTTCCAAATCTGTTCGGAATTGGTTTAGCACCGCTTTGGGCTTGGGGCCTGAGAAATATTTTTCTTTGTGATGCCCCAGAGGCACCTGAGACAGAACAAAGGATCAGTCAGTTTCTAAAGATGAATGCACCTAGAGCCCAGCCCCCACTCTAATATTTCCTTTCCAACTGTCATTTCCCTCTCCCCAGAGTCCCCTCTCACCATGTCCGGCTGGCGGCGACCCAGATGCCATGAGATGGCCATTTGAAGACAGGCCTGCTGGACATCAGGTAGTGATCCCATCACTGTGGCCATTGTCACGTCTTCCTTGGTGGTGGGTGGAGGCATCCGCATTGTGCATGGGGCATTAGGGACCCAGGCATACCAGTCCAGCTGGAGGAAGAAACTGTAACCCTAGAACCCTGGTACTTAGGGTTTGAACTCCCATCTCTCCCTCAGGTCACCTTGCCTTCAGAGACCTGGGCTTTCAGCTGTCCATACCTGGCCCTGGTTGATGGCGGCATGCTGGGCAGTGCACGTGAAGATGCACATGGTGAGGAAATGGCAGAGTTGACTCTGAGACTGGAAGGAGACAGGGAAACCTGGGCAGGAAAGGAATAGGAGAGGAACAAAGGCTATTGTTTTGGGATGCCCGTATTTTAGAATTGATGAGTATTTGTTCATTTTATTTAGACATATTTGCATCAGACATGGGTTTAAGTCCTGGCTCAGTCACTTACACTTAGTTACCATAGGCCAGCTTAACCTCTTTGAACCTCAGTTTTTTCACCTGTAAAATATGGACGATACCTACATTATAAATGAGATGGTGTATCAAAATCACCTGGTCAGTAATAAATGCTCAATAAGTAATAATTATTGTTATGGAAGCATTGGGGGCTGAAAAGTTCTGAGGGACCAAATATCCCTTGCCTCAAAAAGTGGTTAAGAATTGAGGGATGCATGGTCAGTGACTCATGCCTGTAATCTCAGCACTTTGGGAGGCCAAGGCAGGAGGATTGCTGGTGTCAGGTGACAGAGCAAGAGCCTGTCTCTATTTAAAAATTAAAAAATAAATAAATAATTTAGGAATGCTTACTCCTATACCCAGATAGAATTACAAGTGTCTGTGTTATAAGGTGGGGAATAAGTCATGGATGTCCAGTGTCACAGCTAGGGGGACTCCCACAAAGGTTATCTCAGGCCACTCGTCTTACAGTGGATATGGGGGCTCAGAGACCCGATAATCTTTTTTTTTTTTGAGACGGAGTCTTGCTCTGTTGCCCAGGCTGGAGTGCAGTGGCACAATCTCGGCTCAGTGTAACCACTGCCTCTCGGGTTCAAGTGATTCTCCTGCCTCAGCCTCTCAAGTAGCTGGGATTACAGGCGCCCACCACCATGCCCGGCTAATTTTTGTATTTTTAGTAGAGATGGGGTTTCACTGTGTTGGCCAGGCTGGTCTCGAACTCCTGACCTCAGGTGATCTACTGACCTCGGCCTCCCAAAGTGCTGGGAGACCTGATAATCTTATCAGTTAAGTGGAATAAATATAATTACTCTCATTTCATAGGTAAGAAAATCAAAGCCCATAGAGAATACACTGTCAGGACTGCATAGTCGGGAAAAGGCAGAGGCTGACCTTGAACTCAGGTTCCTGACTGCTAATCCCACAGCATTTTTAATTTTAGCCTCTAAAATGCCTGTTGGGAAAACTAGACAGAGGTGAGCTATGAGAACTGAAAGAGAACAAGGGGGAGGGCAGTTAGTGGAGGTTAAATTAACGTGTGTCATGAACTGAGTATCTTTGGCTCTGAAAAGTTTTTATATTGAAATCTAATCCCATTGTGATGGTATTTGGAGGTGGAGCCCCACAAGATAATTAGGGCATGAGGATACACCCTCCTGAATGAGCAGAGGACAGAGTAGATAGCTAGCTAGCTTGCTATCTTTCTGCTATGTGAGGATACAGGGAGAAATCGACTGTGGGCAGCCTGGAAGAGGGCTCTCGCCAGAACCTGAGCTTGAACTTCCAGCCTCTGGAACTGTGAGGAATACATTTCTGTTGTTTGTAAGCCACCCAGTCTATGGTGTGTGGTTTTGTTTTTGTTTTTGTTTTAGACAGAGTTTTACTCTGTTGCCCAGGCTGGAGTGCAATGAAGTGATCTCGGCTCACTGCAACCTCCGCCTCTCAAGTGCAAGCAATTCTCCTGCCTCAGCCTCCTGAGTAGCTGGATTACAGGTGTGTGCCACCACGCCTGGCTAATTTTTGTATTTTTAGTAGAGACAGGATTTCACTATGTTGGCCAGGCTGGTCTCGAACTCCTGACCTCGTGATCCACCGACCTCAGCCTCCCAAAGTGCTGGGATTACAGGTGTGAGCCACCGTGCCCGGCCAGTGTTTTGTTGTAGTAGCCCAAACTGCTAGGAGTCTAAGGGACTGTACTGAGAAGAACTAGAGAGAGTTTGTTCCTGGAAGGGCGCGGTGGTGCAGCTTCGCCAGGGAGAGGCTCCCTCCAGGGTGAGGATGTTTGCCACATTCCCAGGATTGGCCATAAGGGCTCCCCAGTAAATGTCTGTAGTTGTCCCACAGAGGCAGAGGGTGGTATTCAAGGCCTAGAGCTGAAGTGTGAAGGGGAGGGGCCAAAGGATGAGTGACAGCAGTCCAGGCTGGGGCCTGTGTGATTAAACCTAAGAGCTCAGCAAAGGCTATTTCTTCCTCAGAGGTTCACATATGGTAGTGGCTAGATTCTGGCCAAGAGGTGGTTAGGGTGGGAGGGTTGGATTAGCCAAAGAAACCTGAGCCCCAAGGATCAGGGTGCTGAGTCTGGGTTTGAGGCAAAGCATGTATAGGATTGAGCTTGCATCAAGAGCTGACCTTGCACTGTAGCAAGCGTGCAGTATTCCTGGACCCTCTGGGCGTGCTGGACAGTGGCAGGCAGGAAGAGACGGAGGAAAAGCCAGGGTGGGTCCTTACGGGCTTTGGAGGGAAAATCTTCCCATTTACGTCCTCAGTTAGGAAAACGGAACCATCAGGGGAGAATATGAGCCCAGCAGGTACTGTGCAGACCCCTCTCAGCTGTGGCTCTGGCCTGGTGGGCCCCAGGATATGGCAGTTCGGGGGCATCTGTGACAGGGGTGGGGTGGGACTAGGGGTTGATGGCCAGGGAATCTGAGGAGGACAGTCCTTGGGTCTCTAGAATTGTCCTGAGTTTGAGGAGGTGGGAATGGGATACGTATGCTTTCCTGTGTGGAGGGAGGAAGGGAGGTGTGATGAGAGGCTGGGGTCCTGTCCCCAGAAGGGCAGGGCTGGGAAGGGGCCCTAGCAGAGTCTCCCAGGAGCTTCTTCTCTCTCTGGAATGGATCTTACCTCGGTCCTGGGCCTGGCACAGCCCCATCTCCGTGATCTCCCGACACCAGGCCTGCAGCTCAGGGTCCCCCCTCACTACATCATCCCTTTGGTAGAAGAGGTGGACGATCCCCTCCACATACCTGCCCAGGGGAAAAGGCACTTGAGAGCAGAAGGCCCTGGCCTCTGACCTCCATTCCTCTTTCTGTGGCATCTGCCCAGTGCTTCCACAGTATCTGGGAAGAGACCTTGCCTTTGGGACATCCTCAGCCCTCTAAACACGCTAGCATCTCGTGGGAGATGTGGGTCCTTAGTGCTAGGAATTCGCATGGTTGCTGTCACACATCCTCAGAAATCCTGATTTTTCCAGACACCTCCCCCAGTCTCCCCCAACAGCTCCCCTCACCTCCTCTCTCTGTCCCATCCCGGTCTCCTCATTTTCAGAGCCACCCCCTGTGTCTTCACTCTTCCTCATCTCTCCCCAGGATTGAGTTCTCTGCTTCTCCTGTCTGGACCTTCTTGCTTTTTCCCCATGCTGGCCTCAGGCCAGAGCCCTCCTCCTCCCCCATTTGTGAGCTCATCCTTACCTGGCAATGATCTCCCAGAGCCGTAAAGCATCACGGGCGTAGAGAGCACCTGGGAGTCCCAGCAGGCCCCGGTCAGCCAGGTCGTCAGGAGGACAGAGGGAGCAGTAGGTCAGCTGAGCCGTCGCCCGACGAAGCAACTGCACATGGCCCCCTCCACCTGTGCTCACTGCCTGGGACAGGAGATCACAAGTCTTAGCAGGGGAAACAGGGCTGGAGAACCATCGCATCTTCCATAAAGCGGGGCAGATGTGAGATTTTCAGATATTAAGACATGGGTATACAGCACGTTGGGAGGCCGGGGCGGGTGGATCATGAGGTCAGGAGTTCGAGACCAGTCTGGCCAACACAGTGAAACCCCATCTCTACTAAAAATATAAAAATCAGCTGGGCGTGGTAGCGGGCGCCTGTAATCCCAGCTACTTGAGGCTGAGGCAGGAGAATCACTGGAACCCCGGAGGCGGAGGTGGCAGTGAGCTGAGATGACGCTGCTGCACTCCAGCCTGGGCGACAGAGCGACTGTCTCTCAGAAAAAAAAAAAAAAAAAAAAAAAAAAGACATGGGTATAAAAGGGACAAGTTCATAGGTTAAGAGTGAGGACATTCACACATAGTTGGTCTTGGATCCTGAAAGGGGTAGCTCATGGAGAGATGGATGAGGCAGTCCCATGCCCCGTAACCTCCTCACCTTATCAAAAATTCCTCCATCTGAGATTAGCTGGGTCCGGGCCCGGGTGTTGATTTCCATGGTGTAGCGGATATGGGGGATCAGGAGCTGGAGAGGAGGGGATTGGAAGGTGTGACTGGTGGAGGCCATGCTTGGGGTCCTTCCTGGTAGGGCGTGGCATCCAGCATGGTGCCTTCTCCTCTTGATGCTTTTCTTGACAGGCTGGTCTCCTGCTGCTCTGATCACTCACCCTCGTGCTCTCCCACTTCCCTGTGAGTTGGGCCCTGGAGCCAGACTGACCAGGATTTTAACCTACACTGTACTCCTCATTTTGAGACTTGGCCAAGTTAATAACCCTCGAATCTGCAATCTCTTCATTTGTCAACAGGGGGCAGTAATAGACTCTCTTATCTCAGGGGCTGTGGTGCTGCTCACCTAAGGATGTTGGAGAGTGTCCAGTCCACACAAGAGTCCTGGAATAGTAGCTGTCCACTTCATTGTTTCCACCTTGAGTATAGGTGTGTTATGAATCAGTCCCTTCTGATTTTCTTTGCTACCTCCTCTGTCATTCACATTCTGTTAAACTAGCCTCCCTGCTTATTATCAGAGCTGCATCTCCATCTTTTAGTTGTTTCACGGTTGGGTTTCTTCAGGGAATGGGTGGGGAGAGTACTTTCGGTCAGAACTAGAAGAGCTGTATCCAGCTACCTGTTTAAGCAAATCTTTTTCCACCTCTACTTAGGCACTGTTGGACCCCTCCTGTCCTGCTTTTCCTTAGCTATTAAAAAAAGGCCACCTGGTCCTTACATGCGTTTCTTTTTATCTTAGACTGTTTGTCTTCCTTTCCACATAGTTAATATGCAGGTTTTAAGCAGTGTTGGTGTTTGTCTGAATTGTTGATGCTGGCAGTGACCCAAGTGATACCTTGGGTGTTAAGAGATCAGAGCAGCTCATGTTAATCTGAAGCTTTTCAGAAGATTCATGAAAGATGCCGAATGTCACAGAAAGGCCAAAGTCCACATGAGGAGAGAGGATGCCTACGGATGAACAATCCCTAATAATAATAATTGCAAGAACTAGCCGGGTGTGGCGGTGTGTACCTGCAATCCAGGTTACTTGGGAGGCTGAGGCAGGAGGATCGCTTGAGCCCAGGAATCTGAGACTAGCTTGGGCCACATAGCAAAACCCTGTCTCTACAACAAATAAAAAAAAATTAGCCAGGCATGGTGGTGCACACCTGTAGTCCCAGCTACTCTGAAGGCTGAGGTTAGAGGATCGCTTCAGCCTGGGAGTTTGAAGCTGCAGTGAGTTATGACTATGCCACTGCACTCCAGCCTGGGTGACAGAGTGAGAACTTGTCTCTGAAAAAAAAAAAATTGCAAGAACTAATGTTTTTTTGTAGCATTTAGCTTGTGTCACACCATTAAGTCATTTTAACCTCTAACAACCTCACGATGGAACATGTGAGGACATCTGGAAATTATTGAGGCCGGGGTTCAGGACTAAGACCCCAGCAATCCAAAGCCAGGGCCTGCATAGGCCACTGTTAAGAGCAGCTGCAGGCAGGCCGGGCGCAGTGGCTCAAGCCTGTAATCCCAGCACTTTGGGAGGCCGAGATGGGTGGATCACGAGGTCAGGAGATCGAGACCATCCTGGCTAACATGGTGAAACCCCGTCTCTACTCAAAATACAAAAAACTAGCCGGGCATGGTGGCGGGCGCCTGTAGTCCCAGCTACTCGGAGGCTGAGGCGGGAGAATGGTGTAAACCCGGGAGGCGGAGCTTGCAGTGAGCTGAGATCCGGCTACTGCACTCCAGCCTGGGTGACAGAGCGAGACTCAAAAAAAAAAAAAAAAAACAGCTGCAGGCTTGACCCTTGTGGCAGGAGCTCAGCCTGGGATCCCACTTTGGGTTTGTATGTGGATCAAAAAGCAGGTCAGAGATCGAGACCATCCTGGCGAGCCTCTAATACCAAAAATACAAAAACTAGCCGGGTAGGGCGCCAGGTTCCGGGGAGAGAAGGGAGACAACCCGGGAGGTTGTTATTTGCACTTGAACAGGACAGAGTTTACTCCAACTCAAAAAAAAAAAAAAAAACAGCTGCAGGCTTGACCCTTGTGTGCACCTGCCAGCAAGTCAGCTGTCTGCCGGGGGATTGTCTGCCGGGGGATGGCATTACTGTGGTGAGTGGAGACACGGAGAGCACTGAACTAGGAAAGGGAATTGTAAGTGCAAATAGAGGCTTCTCTTGTTTGTGTGGAGCAGAGGATGGAGAAGCAGGAGACAGCATGAGATGAAGGCAATCCAAGATTCCATTCATCAGACTGGTCTCCATCTTGTCTATGTTACTGAAGGGGTAACTCCAGAGGCAGCACAGCTGTGCTGGCCAGGCTGGAGGGGTCCGGGTGGAGGCCCCCAGCTGAAAACAATTCAGTTGTTTTTACCCAGGACTTACTTGCATATCTTGCCAATACATCAAACTCCGTGTACCTGAAACCAAACACCTCATTTTTGCCAACTCTGGTTTCTCCTAACTTTACTGTTTCTGACAATTACTCTGGTTTGTAAGCTTGTATCATTTTTGTGCTCCCTCTGCCACATTCCCTATATGTAAAGTATCATCAAGATTTTTTTTTTTTTTTTGGGACGGAGTCTCGCTCTTTTGCCCAGGCTGGAGTGCAGTGGCGCGATCTCCGCTCACTACAAGCTCCTCCGCCTCCCGGGTTCACACCATTCTCCCGCCTCAGCCTCCCAAGAAGCTGGGACTACAGGCGCCCGCCAGCACGCCTCGCTAATTTTTTTGTATTTTTAGTAGAGACGGGGTTTCACCGCATTAGCCAGGATGGTCTCGATCTTCTGACCTCATGATCCGCCCGCCTCGGCCTCCCAAAGTGCTGGGATTACAGGCGTGAGCCACCGCGCCCAGCCTCATCAAGATTTTAAGAACATTTTCTTAAGCAAGCACAGGTCTTATTTTGCCTTCTCCCTAGCGATATATACTGAACTCACTGTTTTATAAAATTACAGTCTTTCTTTCTTTCTTTTTTTTTTTTAAATTTAGAGACCGGGACTTGCTGTGTTGCCCAGGCTGGTCTTGAACTCCTGGTCTTAGGCAATCATACTGCTTTGGCCACCCAAAGCACTGGGATTACAGGCATGAACCACCACACCCAGCTCTTAAAACCACAGTATTTCTAGGTCAGTATAACACACCCGCCCCATGGACTTACAGGTGTGGCAGAAGCTTGGACTTCTGGCTTTTCTCTCTCTTACACCCAGGCACGCTGCAGCTACTGTTTCCTCCCTTCACTACATTTTAGATTCTTTCCTTTTCATTCCTGTCATTACCATGCTCACGTACATCTCTATCTACCTTACTGTTGGGCAGGTATGAGTGGCTTGCTGGCTGCTCTTCCTTGTCTTTTGATCTGTTTCTACTTAGCTGACTCCTCAGTTGGGGAGAAACAGTCTTCATCAATACTAGACTGTTATAGGCTGTCCCTTGGGATTTCAAACTCTAGTACCAGATACTGTTCTCTGGTTGGTTCTTATGGGCACTGCTTGTTTTTCTGGCTGAATACTAAATCTAAGGTAGGAATACGGCTTTTGTTTTACTCACAGCGTTCAAGCTCTGCTGTGAGCACACTGCTAGACGGTCAGATCTCTGAGAATTTCAGAGGGTTCCTGTATAATGTTAAGTGACTAAACTTAATACACGTAATTAAAATCAACATCTCAAGATATCGATACAGTCTCCTCTTCACTCACATATTGCGACAAAGAGTTTTTGCTGCTGCAATATCATTTGATATTGGGCTGTTCCTCTCTCTGGGGTCTGAGGGATATGTGATTGAATAGATTAATAAGTACCTTGAAGATGGGGTGCAGTCCTGGGAGGCACCGCATGGTGGCGACAGCTATGACCTCAGCCACCAGATGCGTGTTCAGCAGGTGGTACTGGAGCTGGTGCAGTTGGAAATCTGAATTTCGGACCCAGGACTTTGCCAGGAGCCAGGCAAGTGGGGGGTCCGAGGGCAGGAACAGTGTTGGGGCTGGAGAGCTGGGGTTGGGAGGCTGAATCTGGGAGAAAGAGAAATCATTGAACTCCCATTCCGTATATGACATTCTAGTCAGCATTCTCGAGGAAACAGAGATGACTAAGTAAGATTATTGCCTTCTAGGAGGTTACAGTCTGGCAGGAGGACTGCGAACCCTCCCAGCCTGCCGCTTGCTAGCTGGAGTGCCCTGATGTCAGGTGGAGGGCAGGAGGGGCTGGAGGAAGGGGGTCCAGAAGGAGGCCCTGTTCTCTGGTTGGGCCAGATGGTGGTTGGCGCTCAGAGGGTGGTGGAATGTGAAAGAGAAGCAGGAGGTGTGAGCTTATTGACAGTTCTCGTCACCTGACTGTTAGGAATAGTGAGAGAAGGCCAGGTGCGGTGGCTCACACCTGTAATCCCAGCACTTTGGGAGGCCGAGGCAGGCAGATTACTTGAGCCCAGAAGTTCAAGACCAGCCTGGGCAAGATGGCGAAACCCCATCTCTACAAAAGATACAAAAATTAGCCAGGCATGGTGGCGAATGCCTGTGGTCCCAGCTACTGGAGGGACTGAGGTGGAGAATCGCTTGAACCCAGGAGGCGCACGTTGCAGTGAGCCAAGATCGCACCACTGTACACCAGCCTGAGTGATACAGTGAGATTATGTCTCAAAGAAAAAAAAAAATTGAGAGACAAGATATTGAAGAGATGATGAGGGTTCAGAGTCAGAGGCCACAGAGAGATTAAATAGTGATTCTCAAAGTGTGGTCCTGAACTGGTAGTGTCAGCATCACTTTGGAACTTATAAAAACGCAGACTCTCAGTTCCCACCCCAGACATACTGAATCAGAAAGTCTGGTCGTGGGATCTAGAAATCTGCATTTCAACAAGCACTTCAGGTGATTCTGATGCACACTGAAGTTTGAGGACCATTGGATACAGGATGAGAACTCCAAGAGGCCATTTTGACTCTTGAACAAGTACTTCTAGTTGGATGAGGCAGGGGAGACAAGAGTACAGGCAAATAGTGGCATGAAAGCAAGTCTGACTGAGTGAGAATGGGGTTTGGGAACCAAGAGCCGGGGGCTGGGTCCCTGGGAGCAGAGGTTGAGGTGAACAGAGCGCAGCATTGCCGGAGAGGCCCAGGGCCCTTACCTGGATGACCATGGGCAGCAGTTTCCCGTTAGGCTCCATCTTCAGCATGACGAGGGGGGCAGCCAGGTACTGCTTCTCTCCTCGGATCACGTTGGCTGGAATTCCATCCAGAAGGATGAAGTCAGCTTCAAACAGGGAACCATTCTGGGGACAGGAGGGATGTATCCATTTTGAGAGTTCGAAGTCTACCCCCAGGGGGCCAGGGCAAAGGGCAAGAGATTTAGTCTAGCTTCTTGCCATTTTCCTGTGTCAGTACCGGAGTCCTGCTGGGAGAACTAGAGCCCCTGGTCCAGTTCCTCTCATCTTAAAGTGAAGAAACAGTCTGGTGAGCATAGATGTCTTGTGCGTGGATGTGGTGGCAGATCTGGGTTTGGAACCAGGCCTGCTCAATCCAGTTGGCATCACAGGCATTGTAAACTGATCCCCTGTCAAATGGCCAGGCACCTTTCCGATCATTCCTGAATGGTGTGCGCTCTGGTTTTGGCTCCTATCAGCTCAGCAAATGCTCTTTCCTTCCCTATTCAAATCTCACCTCCTCTGCCAAATATTCCAGAGAGCTTCTCCTCGCTGCACCTGCCACCACATACAGCACACACGTGCACACGCACACATTGTGCCTAGGCTTGTCCTCAGTACAGTCCATCGCTTCCAAACCCCACTCTCTTTGTCTAGAAAGCCGCCCAGATTCTCTGCACCTGATGGCACTTCCTCACTTTTCTCCCTGCCCGTGAACACTGGAATCCAAAACACTGTGGCCAGGGCACGTCACTGTTCCTGCTAACATCTCCAGCCCCTCGCTGTGTGCTGGGGATCCATTCTGTTTTCCCCTGCATGCTGGGAGCTCCTTATAGTTTTTTCCCCTACATATTTTATTTCTGTATTTTTCCAGCACAGGACTGCACCAAGGGGCAGCGCGGTACTGCAGCCTGCCTTCCTCTGACTCAGTTTGGTTTCTATCTGTCCGTTCTCACCACACTACTAAGGAGAGAACAGTGCCAGGCAGGGGAAGGAGAGGTACCTGAAGTTCTTTCTCCAGTTGAGCCCGAAGCTCTTCCATCCCCGAGGGCAGCGCTAGCCTGGAGGGCAGAGAGGTCGAGCGCCTCAACAGCATGGGGTTGGCACCATTGACGAACTGGTATCCGAACAGCTCATCATCCTGCCAGCACTGGTGAACCTTCTCTGTGGGGGGCGGTGGAAGGAGGATATATGTACCACAGCCTGCATATCCCTCCTCCACAGTCAACCCCAGGGGTTCAGGTATATGACCCACCCTGAACCCAGCTTCTGAGTTTTCATTCTCAAGGCCTCTCTGAGTTGACCAGATATGATAAGGTCTCTTCTTGCAAAGAGATACAGGGGACTGTGGAGTGTGATGAGTCATCCAGAGGGGCCATTAAAGGATTATGGAGACCTGGGGGAACCACTGACCAGCCAGGGCACTCTTCTGGCCCCAGAAGATCTGATCAAAGTCTTCTAGGCAGTTCCAGGAGCTCAGGAGGGTGTAAACACGTTTGAGGGCCATCTCCAGAGCCCTAGGACAGGTATTGAGGCTTAACTCATCAGCTGATCCCTCAGTTCCTTCACATCTACCATCATTCTTGGACCTCCCAGCCCTTATTTCACTCTTAGGTCCAGCCTTTTTCTCACCCTGCCTTCAGTGTCCATTCAAAGTCCAGCCTCTTCTCCTCATGGAATCTCATATTTGGAGGTAGATCATCCTTACGCTCTGCAGCGATGGTCAGGGGCAACCCTTCCTTCCAGGTGGCCCAGCTAGGAGTTGAGGACAAAGCTTCAGGAAGGATGTCATGGTCAGTGATGGGGGCAGGGGCAGGGGCAGGGAACGGGTGGGATAGCGGTGGCAGGGGGAGTTTAAGGGGTGGGTGGTCACCAGTAGATCTGCTGTCTGTCTTTCAGTTCCTTCTCTCGATGCTTCTGGAACACATCCAAGGCATTGTCTCCTGGCAGGCGGGCTGGGGAGACATCAGGACAATTGGCCTCACGGCTCTGTCTGGTCCTATGCCCGCCTCTTGTCCTCATCTCCCTGCGGGTAGCCGTATTCCATGTTTTCATCCATGCACTGTTACGTTCATCTCTGGCTTTGCCTCATTTGATTATCCCCCAGACACATTTTTCCCATCTTTGCCAACTTTGCACCCCTGCTTTCTCTTATTTCAGCCCTCATCCTTCGCCTATAGATAAAAACCTCCTGTTTGCCACCATTTCTTGCTCCTTCTCTCATCTTCCCCTACCTAGCCTTGCTTCATCAATATCTATGGTTGGAAAAAAATCACCTTAATTAAGGTGATGAAATCTTAGTCACCTGTACACCTACGCCTACTGTCTACTGCAAATTGCTTTGATTAATTTCACATCTTAAACCTCACCTGCCACACCTTCACCTGTCCTCAAAAGATTCTACATTTGCCTTTTTTTTTTTTAACCTCACCTTTCTGGATTTACCATCATAGTTTGTATCTATTGACTTCTTCTGGCTCTTTTCTGCATTTACACTCACCTGTCTCAAAGTCATAGATTTGATGTTCCATCCCTACCACCCTCACTCATCTCTGGATTCATCTCTCTTTTACTTGTTACCAGTGGTTAAAAATTCAGTATTTGCCATCCTCATTCGTCCCTGCCTCCTGCTGGCCAGTGTGCTGCTTGTCTTTCACGGGTGTCTTCCGTGGTAGTCCAACCAAACCAGCTCTCCAGCATCCTATGTTTGCTTCCCTTAGCTGTCTACTCTCACGGGTCACCCACCCCCTCCTGTTCCATGTGGTCCCCTCACCTGACTTCTGAGTCACCTCGACATCTCCTTCCTACGTTTACTTTGCATCTCTGTTTTCCTGGATCGTTGCAACTCCCACTTTCTGTCTTTGCCTTCTTGGAAGGTGGAATCTCCAGATCACTTACTCCCTGCCTCCAGCCTCAAGTGCAGTCTCTCTCAGCCTGTGTACAACTTTGGGAATGCATAACTCCTTCCCGTTTCCTGTCCAGCACCCTGGGTTCCCTACACTTCACTTGCGCTGGGCCCAGACATCCTCTAAGTCCGCTCCGACCGTCATTAGCTCTGTCCTCCTAGCCCCGCAGCAGTTCCCGGGACCTTGCGCCTCCTTCCCCGACGCCGCCTTCTCACCGGTGCCCTCCGGCAGGCTCAGGATGTCCTCGCCCTGCACCCAGCGGTAGCACGGGAAGGCCGCCTCCGCGCAGGCTCCAGGGCCCTGCACCGTGATGCGGTCGCAGAACCATGCGTCGTCCACCAGCCAGTGGTGTTTGCGCAGCCTCACGAACTGCAGGAGCCCTATGTCCTCTGCAACGTCACGATCAAACTCCTCCTCCTGTGTGGGCCAGACCCAGGCCAGACTTAGTAGGAGGGACCCGACCGACGCCGTTTCGAGGACGGAGCCGCTCTCCTGTGCAACCTCAGTTTCTCAGGGCCTCCAAAGACAGCATCGCCTCGTTCCCGCCCACGCAAGATCTGCTCTTTGGGTCTCGGACGTCCGGAGTCAGGTGGAGAACGAGGGCCCGCAGTGCCTGGAGCTGATGCTGGAGCAGCATCGCCCCCGTGGGTCCCATTAACTGAGCTCTCCCCGCGAGGGTGCTTGGAGGAGCTTCACGTCTGGCCCCTCGCCTTATACTTACTTTGGCTCTGGGTCAGTGGGAGAAGGAACTGGAGGCTGCCGGGACCAGGGGCGGGGAAGGGAGATGGGGTTGAGCCCAGTCCGGGATCCCAGCTCCGGACCCTGTCCCTGATCTTGCCCCACGCGTCCCAACTTCGTGGAAGTCCCAGTCCGCGAGGTCGCGCTGTCACCTCGCCCCCAGCCTCCCGCCCTCCCACCGCAAACCCAGCTCGGCCCGGCCCGGGGTTCCCGCTGCCCCCGCTCCCCCCACTGCCCCCGTTCCCCCCGCTGCCCCCGCTCCCCTCGCTCCCCCCGCTGCCCCCGCTCCCCTCGCTCCCCACGCTGACCTCTCCCCGCGCCGGCCGCAGCTGCAGCTCCAGCTCCGCCTCCCCGCGCGCCCCGACCAGCCAAAGCTGCACGCGGTTGTGCGACCCGGAGAAGAGCCAGGCCCCGGTAGCCACGCGGATGCGGTAGCGGCCCATGGCGCCCCCCAGCAGCTTAGGCGAGGGGATCCCGGTACTGCGCGATTCCCGGGACCGCCCAGGGTTGCTGGCGCCTCGGGGCCAGTTCGGACCTTTAAATGACGGGTCTGCGGCTCCGCCCTCCTCGCAAGTTTTAGGCGCTCCCAAGTCCCCGCCCCAGACTAGCCCAAACCTGCGAGCAGAGCGGTAGAGCCGGCTGCGGGGACTGGCTGTGCCTCCTGGTCGGAGCGTAGCTGCGGGATGATAAAGGGGCCCGAGCCGGGGTGAGGCCAACGGGGTGGGTGCGGCTGGCTTTCCTGGACCTCCCGGGAAGCGGGATCGGGGTGGGCAGGAGCCCCTGGGTTGGAGCGAACATGGATGAGGACCCTTCCCGAGGTCTCCAGGTCTTCTGCGGAGCTAGGAGGAAGTAGGGGATGAGTCCATCTTCCAAACGGAGGGGAAGGTCTCCGCTTTTCTGGGCTGGGACCCGGGGAAGGCAGTGGGCCGGCTTCGGGAAGGTCGGCCTGGGAGGCTGTGCTGGGGTCTGGGGATGTCCCGCAGCTAGACCCGGCGCCGCCCACGTGTCTTCTAGTACCTGAGCTCTGCCAACCTTGAACGCTGTGCTTCCGTCAACGACCAGGGGTTCCCCAGGCTACCTAGAACCTGGAAATGTAGCAGCTCAACACCTGCTCCCCACCCCGTTTCAAATATCTGGGCTTTGGGGTGCCAGTGTACACCAAATATCATGGGCCAGACCTTTGAGAGAGGCCTGAGGCAGGGCAGTGAAAATCTCATTTTGTCCAACCTCCATAGCGGGTACGGACAGTGTTAGGGGCCCAGGAACACCAGTCGGGTTGTTCCGGTGCGGATGGAATTGCTTAGGGACCTGGCCTACGTGGGCAGTTCCCACGAACTTTGTCCTTTCCAGGTGAGCGCAGCCCCTTCCGCTCCAGTAGGTTCCAGGTTAGTCTTTTATCCCTAAGCTGTTTCCTGGTCCTTCGTGGGTCTCAGGTCTCCTGGAAATCCAGGAACAGCAATTGGCCAACTGCTGTTTAGGGCGTTTGTAAACATTGAAGGATGATTCGGAGCTCAGGCTTTGTCTGCCGTCCAGGAATCAGTCAGATGAAGCCTGCTGCACAGGTCTCTGTCTAGATCTTGATCCAAGTGATGATATGCATTTGGCTCTCCGCGGATGTGTCTGGTGGCCTGGGCTGGGCCAGTGTAAGGTAAACTGCTTTCTTGAGCCAGTCCTCAAAAATGACTTGGTGCCCTAGTCGTTGGTAGAGGTAAGTGAGTGGGAGTTTCAGCCCCGCCTTCCAGCCTCCAGACCTCCCAGAAGTGTCTGCCCCTTACTGGATTCGATTCCCTTTCTTGTCTTCTAGGTCCACTCTGGCCTACATTCTCTGTGCTCAGGACTTCAGGTCCGCCATTTGCTGGTCCCCAGTTCTTCTAGTTTTCTGAGGTCACCCTATTCTGTAATATCCAAATAAAATGGCTTAAATTCCCATCCTGCCTAATAGTAGGATCTGGCCTTTCCACACCCATTTTCGTGGGTTACTTTTGCCTAGAAAAGAGTTTGTCTCTTACCTACTTCCAAAAGCACTGTTTCTCTGCTGTTTTGTGACTCCTTTTCTGCCCACTCCAGTGTACTCTACGGCCATGTGCAGAGAGAGGGAATGAATAATTGAGAGAACAGATTCGAGCTACTGCGCATGCTAAATAAGTGAATATGGCTAAACAGTGAGAACAGTGCGTGGCGCATAGTCCCTCTATGTATTAGCTGCTATGATTTTATTATTTACAAGCGCATGTTAGCATTGCTCCTCTACCGTTCCTCTTCCCATGCTGTTTCTCCATGTCCCTCTCTAGGCCTAGCCTCTCACTAGAGCTCTTACCACTCTAGACCCTTCCCCCTCCCCCTTTTGTTTCCCTTTTAAGCACATGTGCTGTGTTGGGAGAATATAATTAGAAGCACAATGTTCTCCCAACCCAGAAAAAACCTCTCCACGAAAGTAGTGAAGAAAGAAAACAGTTTTATTATTGAATAAACATTAAACCAGAATGTGATGCACACCACAGGCAGTTGCTAAGAGACTGCAGAGGCAGAAGGAAGTCTCACTCTTATCTAGCCAAGCAGTTACGGCCCATTACATACGTGTTCTCAAGAAAAACTAATCCTTAGGAGGACTTGATACCACCATTTGTCACATATAGTGCGGTCTAGAGGCATCTGACAATTGTGATGACCATCTATGTTAGCTAATTGGCTTAATCAGAAGGAAAACTTCTCTCTCTCTCACTTTTTTTTTTTTTTAAGATGGAGTCTCACTCTGTTGCCCAGGCTGGAGTGCAGTGGCGTGATCTCAACTCAGTACAACCTCCACCTCCCAGGTTCAAGCGATTCTCCGGCCTCAGCTTCCTGAGTAGCTGGGATTACAAATGTGAGCCACCAAGCCTAGCTAGTTTTTGTATTTTTAGTAGAGATGGGGTTTTGCCATGTTGGCCAGGCTCCTGACCTCAAACTCCTGACCTCAGGTGATCCACCCGCCTCGGCTTCCCAAAGTGCTGGGATTACAGGCATGAGCCACCGTGCCCAGCCAGCTTTTCAGATTTTTATGACAGCAGATAGTTTTGCAGCTTAAGCAAAGTGTCCATCTAAGTTAGTCCTACCCTCCCACAGAAACTGGGAAATGAAGGCTCCATCTTTCTTGGTGTTTACATTTCAAGGAGATGGCTCTTTGTGAAAGACATTCCTGAGTAGTAGAGCTGGCAAAGGGCTGTGTGGCTTCTGAAAAGATTTATACACATTTTGAAGAGACAGAAAATAACTTACAAGTTTTCTTGCCGGGTGTGGTGGCTCACGCCTGTAATCCCAGCACTTTGGGAGGCTGAGATGGGTGGATCACCTGAGGTCAGGAGTTTGAGACCAGTCTGGCCAACATGGGGAAACCCCGTCTCTACTAAAAATAAAAAATATTAGCCAGGTGTGGTGGCAGATGCCTGTAACCCCACCAACTTGGGAGGCTGAGGCAGGAAAATCGCTTGAACCTGGGAGGTGGAGGTTGCAGTGAGCCAAGATTGTGCCACTGTACTCCAGTCTGGGCAACAAGAGCGAGACTCCATCTCAAAAAAAAAAAAAAAAAAAAAAAAAAAAAAAAAATTTACAAGTTTTCTAAAGCAAATTTTCCAAGAAAAGAGAGGGTGGAGAAGTCTCTTCCCTTATTTTCAACAGGGAGAACTAAGCCTTTAATTTTTTTTTTTTTTGAGATGGAGTCTTGCTCTGTTGCCCAGACTGGAGCGCAATGGCACAACCTTGGCCCACTGCAGTCTCTACCTCCCGGTTTCAAGCAATTCACTTGTCTCAGTCTCCTGAGTAGCTGGGACTACAGGTGGGCACCACTACATCTGGCTAATTTTTGTATTTTTGGTAGAGACGGTGTTTCACCATGTTGGCCAGGCTGGTCTCCAACTCCTGACCTCAGGTGATTCCCCCACCTTGGCCTCGCAAAGTGCTGGGATTACAGGCGTAGCCACTGTGCCTGGCTGGTATTTAGTTATAATAGCCCAAACTGACTAGGAGGCTTTTTTTTTTTTTTTTTTTTGAGACAAGGTTTCACTCTGTCACTCAGACTGGAGGGCAATGGTGCCATCACAGCTCACTGCAACCTCGATCTCCCAGGCTCAGGTGATTATACTGCCTCATCCTCCCCAGTAGCTGGGACTACAGGCCCGCGGCACCACGCCCGACTAATTTTTGTATTTTTTGTAGAGATGGGGTTTTGCCATGTTGCCCAAGCTGGTCTCAAACTCCTGGGCTCAAGTGATCCACCAGCCTTGGCCTCCCTCCCAAAGTGCTGGGACTATAGGGGTGACCCACCACACCTGGCCGTTTCATTTTTAAATTGTTATTTGTCCCTGACAACTACCATTTTGCTTATTTATGATATAGCAAGGACCAGGGGCTTTATTTTGTCAGCGCCCTTTGCAGTAGGAAAGCCCACATGGGCACACGTGCATGCCAAATGTAAATTTTCTGCTTTCAAACTCCTGATTCCCTGCTGTCTATGCCAGTAGCCAACTCCCGTATTCCCATTACCTCTCTACAGAACATTTAACTTATTTTTATTTTTATTTTTTGAGACAGAGTCTCACTCTGTTGCTCAGGCTGGAGTGCAGTGGCATGATCTTGGCTCACTATAACCTCCACCTCCTGGGTTCAAGCGATTCTCCTGCCTCAGCCTCCTGAGTAGCTAGGATTACAGGCGCCCGCCACCATGCCCAGCTAATTTTTGGTATATATATATATATATTTTAAATAAAGAGAGGTTTTTGCCATGTTGGCCAGGCTGGTCTCAAACTCCTGGCCTCAAGTGATCTGCACACCTCATCCTCCCAAAGTGCTGGGATTACAGGCATGAGCCACCGCGCCCAACCAATTTACCTTCTTGATCAAAGCTTCTTCCATTAGGCTATGGCCCAGGGGATGTGGGTGATGGGGGTAGACCTTACATTTTAGAGCCAAAAAGACTTGCTAAAGAGTTTTTCTACACAAGAATAGTTTCATCCTTTTCCTTTCTCCTCTGCCAGTGTGGCTCAAACTGCAGTCAGGTTTGTGTGTGTGTGTGTGTGTGACGTAGTTTTCGCTCTTGTTGCCCAGGCTGGAACACAGTGGCGCGATCTCGGCTCACTGCAACCTCCACCTCCCGGGTTCAAGCGATTCTCCTGCCTCAGCCTCCCGAGTAGCTGGGATTACAGGTGCCCGCCACCATCATATCCAGCTAATTTTTGTAATTTTAGTAGAGACAGGGTTTCACCATGTTGATCAGGCTGGTCTCAAACTCCTGACCTCAGGTGATACGCCCGCCTCAGCCCTGTTTTTTTGAAATGATTACATGTGAAGGTCAAAATTACTTCTTGATCTATGGGCTGCAGAATGAATGATGTGTTAGCAGTCACGAAAACAGCATTAATCTCCCTGTACATCTCCATCAGAGCTCTTGGGTGACAGGTGCATTCCAAAT